TCAAGCTTTTTTTTACACTTCGCATTTTGCAATTGTGTTTAAGTTTCATTGTCTTTTCTGCTATACTGAAAGATTAAAAAATCATTAAATTCTAGCATATATATTTAAATTTTTGTTATCCAAAAAATAAATAATATAATTTCAATTTCTTCATTCAAAAAAATCAACAAATTGCAATAAATTTTCAAAAGAAAAAGTAAAATATTTAATCAAGATTATGCAACCTATAAAAGTTAAACCTATACGAGTATTTTTAACTTAAAGTTTTTAAATCAATGATCAATTACCAATCATATTTTTTTAAAGATCATAACAAAGTTTTGAAAGATACATGAAATAAACACATATAACAATCTCATTGTGGTTTTGGATTAGTTAAATTTTTTAATATAATATTTTATTTCGATTTTGTCTAACGCAATACATTCAAATTTAATCATCTGATTGATTAGTTGGTGCAATAAACAAATGGGATAGCAAATGAGAGCTACACTCACTTTACATAAATTATTTTCTAATTTTCTATGATGTAAATAATACTGCTAGTTTCAAATCTACATTGTGTTCTTACACCCAGTCTCAATTAATTTGTCAATAATGCTTGTCACTTCTCCATTGTTGTTGTTTGTGTTTTATGACACTTGTCACATCAAAGCATTTTTTATTGTACTTTTGCTGCTTTGCCATTTACGAAAACCATGATATTGATTTTCATTTTTTACAAATAAATACAAAGTATCAATATTATATGCTCAACCTTGTTGTTCAAATCTTTCAAATAACATGAAGAAACATACAAAATTTTTATTTTTATTTTTTCAAAAAACTGTATCAATGCATTTACATATTGTAGGTTTATTCATTTCATCAAAAATAATTAAAAGAAGAAAAAATAGATGTATCTCAACAATATTAATTTTTTTTTTCAAATATCATGAAAATTTCAATCAAAAATCATAATTTTTATGATGTTAAGATTTTATTTTTAGCTTTGTTCATGTGAACTAGGTCATCAAATCACCATAATTTTTCAAGGTAATACAGGATAAAATGAAAACATTATTGAATTTTTTTTTCCTATTTATGACTTTATTGTCTTATAAAATCTTCAAAAAAAACATGAAATATCATGTAGACGTCGTAACTCTCTACATGCATCAATTGAAAATTTGTTTTCTTGTTTTATTTTTGATAATTTTTAATCCCAAAATTGAAACATTTGAATTTCTATACGAAGCTCGAATTAAAAAACTGTATCAATAATAAAGATTTATTAGAATTAATTTCTGTAATTAAAACGGAAAAAAGGTTCATGATCAATATTACTTAAGAGTAGAATGCTTTTTTTTCATCTTCTATGGCTAAATTATTTTTTGTTTTATACAATCAATTCATAATAAAAAACACTAGAATAAATCTTATAATTTGAATCTATTTCTTAGTTTGATTGATAATTTTTTTCCACTGTGTTAATTATACGATACATTTTGAAAACTTCTAAGAATTGAGAAAAATCTTTCCAACAAGTTTAAAGAATAATGTATGCGTCAAGACATGATTTTATAGACATATAAAAAAACACATAAAAATATCAAAACATATGTTGAGTTGAATAAAAAAAAAAGTGTATTAGTGGAAAGCAAGAGTAACTTAGGATTAGAATGTAATTTTTGGCAACTTAGACATTTCTGAAAATCACCTATTGCCTAAAGGTTAAAATAGTGGAGAATCTAGCTGGACTTATATTCACATATTAATGCATATATTATCACTTCATAAATATTAATGAGTGACACATTTACTTGGGATACATTTAAATCTATCATTGGGTAGATATGTACAAATGTAATTCACAGAAGGCGATTGTTACAGTACAGCAGAAACGATTCTAAAAAGACGATTAGTACATGAGAACGAAAGAGATTTGAAGTATAAGTTTTTGGAGCAAAAGGATGAGTATATTAGATCGGAAGGGGTTCGAAAAAAAAGGATTCCAAGCAAAAAGATTCAAAGAAGGCGATTGTTACATTACAGCAGAAATAATTCGAAAAAGACGATTAGTACATAAGAACGAAAGAGATTTGAAATATGATTTTTTGGAGCAAAAGGACGAGGATATTAGATCGGATGGGGTTCGAAAAAAAAGGGTTCCATGCAAAAGGCGCGGACGGCAGGATTCGAACCTGCGCGGGCATAGCCCAATTGATTTCGAGTCAATCCCGTTAACCACTCCGGCACGTCCGCTTGTTGGCCAAATGATAAGAGTTAAAAGACTTATTCTCTTAACATTGATTCTATTTTGAAGAAGTATTTCAAGGAGGTGACGAATTCTTGGGTGAATAAGGAGATCCTCTCTCCCTTCTTATGAAACATGAGCTTCATAGTCAATACGGAACCATAGGCTATGGCGGGGGCAATTAACCTAAGTAAAAAGTCAATAGAAATCTAAAAATCTCCTTAATTTTATCTACATACATAGTAATTAATCTTTGATTAAAATTACTAAATTTTTTTCAAAAAATTGCCCAAAAAATTGAGCATATGTTTCCGATATAAAAATATAGATCTGATTTTCATAAGGAAGTTACTCTTTTGCATGTGTGAATCAACATTTTAGGATATTGACGCCTTAACCAAATTTTTTTTATGAAATAAACGATGTATAATTGCGTTATCTTGATTTAATCTCTTTGTTCTTTGAAGTGATTGTACAAATAAATAGATAGTTCATTGAATCAATTTTTATCTGAAAGTATGCTGAAGGGAAAAAAATTAATTTACTTTTAGAGATTCAGCTGGAAATATCTATAAAACATAGAATCCCCACAGTTGATCTTTAATATAGACAAAGAATAAAATTAAAGATAAGCTAAAAGTAAAAAAGTTCAGATTTATTCTTATCATCTAAAGATATAAAATCGGATATGAAAATAAACCAGCGTTAAAGCATTTAGGCATCATAGCACGTGATCTTATTGAAATAGAGAAAAAAAGAATTATCAGCAAGTAAATTTGTCCATAGTGAGTTAAGCGTTCAGAAATATCTCGCACGATTTTATTTTATTTTTAATAAATGGCAGGCCTTTGGACACGAATGGACTTTGGAGCAGGACCAGGTTGCGCATGAGGTTTGCGGACTGAGTTTCATAACATGAACAGAACTCAGAAGCATAGATCCAATAAAAAACGAGAGGAGGCAAAGAGAAAAGTGAATTGGAATATATATTGAAATACATGAGATTTCACTGACCTTTAGACCAGCGCGAATCGAGCTCGCTCTGAAATTCTGAACAACTCAATTGCGTTTTGTCTTGGAAGTGAGCGGCATATACTCGAGGTCCCATCGCTGACATCAGGTGGCGCCGGTGGCCCACCAATTCTAATGAGCCGAAATACGGTGGTCCAGTTCCTGCTCGAAGCACCGTGAGTCGATGGCCCCCAAATTGACGCCAGTTGATCTCAGTTGAGCGCGTCTACCGAGTACAGCCGAGATGGTGGGCTAACAACGCGGTAGGGTGGGCGACGAGGCTAGAAAGAGACGAGACGAGAGTCACGGGAGAGGTTCGAAACGGGGAGACTGTGGTCGACTAGAGAGTCAAGAAGGGGGCGTGATTCGCGCAGCGCGGACAGCTGAAGGCGAGGCAAGTACGCTTTTAGTGGATGTCAGAGCTGGAGCCGCTGAGCCATAAGAGCACGATCTGCCAGATTCTATCGGACCGTCAAGGGTGCCGTCCCTGCACATGTCGGTCGCCCCGCAACCGTTTCTTCACCTTTTTCTTCCTCGTCCGAGAGAATCAGTCCGCAAACATCGACCTGGCTGGCGACTCCTCCCCCTAGACTGGCCATCCACGCAACACAGCAAGCCCCCTTGCGGTTCGCCGAATGCCATCTGGACAGTGGGCAGCGTGAATGTGGTGGCAGAAACTACTTTGCTCCGGCGTTCATACCGCCATCGATTTCCGGCAGTAAACTTACAAAATTAACCTAGAATCTGGCAACTCCTGAAACCCACACATACTTGCGTCCCTGTTTCCTTCATAGACTTGCATGTTCACTCAAGTTCAGTCGTCCTCCCCCTTGCAGACCGACATTCAAACACTCAATAGTTGTATGGCACGTTACATGGGGTATCTTTCAGGAGAGGCGTTAGTCATCGGCTGGTGAGCGGATAGAGGATTCTTCGACAGAGTTTTAAAGCTCCCTGTGCAAACACAGTCACCCTTTGAGCCTTCTTAGATTCAAGACCAGGACTGCTGCTGACTGGCGGTCAGCTCATCAACAAGAAACTCTGTTTCAGGTTGTTCAAATAGAGGAGAAGTGGAGCGAGTATGAAGTGTGAGTGCTGTCCCACAAAGAGTAGCCAGAAGAAGCGATGGGCGATGAATTATTGAGTATTATGTAGAAAAAAAATATGAACGGACGATATTGTCTAGATCGTCGCAACGGTTGTCGGAAGTTTTGTTGCACCCTGGCCATAACTCATGAAGCATGCTTTTTAATGTGGCTAAATTATATAAACACGAATTCCCAGGCTTCGAAGGTGGTGAGAGCACGGTATGGTTTGTAAAAATAAGCGGACAGGGAACAATGTAGCACAAGTCCACAAGAAGAAGGATAACTGAAACCATCTATGGCCATCGATTTATTTGTCACATGTAAGATAGGAAACATCTTCTCACAACTCCTTTTGTCCATAAAATTCCTTAGGGGTAACGAACAAATACACCTGGCTGGAGTTATCACCTTCTCGGGAAATGATAGAGCCCTTGGGATTCTTGCAAAGTGACGTGAAGTTTCCTGCTGCATGAATCTTGGAGTGGAGTCTACTGGGTAGCATAGCATCATTCTTATGAAACACTCTACGGGACAAAGTGATCTGTGGCAACCACCGAGTGCCAATGACCGCTAGGAGCGAAAAGTATGTTTCAGTGGTGATCAAAACTATCATGACATTTCAATGATTGGAAAAGAAAAGCATTTATTGCGTAGACACCCAATATGTGCAGTAACAGGGAAGGACGGCTTTTCTTTTCAAATTCAGTTTCCACAACATACCAATGGTAGTAATAGACATCAACAATACTCCTGTCATAGAAAATGTAGACCATCAAAAGACCACTATGCAAAGAAACTTCATACTGTGTTACAAGTCAGAACGTCTCTTTTGATCGACCTTTACTGGGAAATAGATAGACCAGTTCTGTCCTCCTCCGTCTTTCCTTTCAGCACTTGACGTTGGAAGATGAATGATATCCTCGCCCTTTTAATTTGTTGAAACCAATTTTTTCATATACTAGAGAAGCATCTACTGAGCGAGGAGATCATCGATCACTTAAATTTGATTTGGAAAGTAACTGTTGCCAATGCAGATCGCTTCACATGCTAACGTTCACACATCCTCCGATAGCCCAACTTTGGAAAAAGAATATGAATCAGAAATAGGCCACTGTAGGCCAACATTGGCCGCCGATCTCCATAAGTCAAGATCGAGAAACTCGCTGCAACTAAACTCACAAAAAGCGCCGAACATTTGGACCGTGGAGTGGACAGTAGGACTTTGGCAGGCGGTGGTCAAATGGCACAACGGTGATACACTTTGTGAGAACATGAGAGTAAAACAAAGTTGGGGTAAAAGGAGGTAGAGCCAGCTGAGAATAGAAGGTATGATGTCTTGCTTCTTTCGCACATTGAAGCAAAATCACAGGTCTAACTAACTCGTTAGGTGACAATAATGCAAAAAGGGGAATGGAGGACATAAAATATAGCAAGTGAGACCAAAGAGGAAGTCCATGCAGGAGCTATGGGGTCGCGCATGGCTGGACAGCAGGATCTTCGCTCGCCCACAACTACGAGCAGTGGAGCACTCAACTCTCACTCACTCTTTTGTCTCAGAGCTGTCAGGTGCAGGGTTGGGCGTCTTTAGTACAGTACTCTCTCCTTTCTCTCTCTCTCTCTATCACTCACTGATTTCAGTCAGTCCGCCGGATGGATCCATCGTCCTCCTGTACTGTACATCCACTTTTCTTTATGGTTGGGTTGCTGCAGTTCGCTTCACTCGTCTCTCGTTGCTCCCTTCCATTCGGTCTCATTCATTCCCAGTCGCACTCATAAGCTCCCGCCATGTCAGGATTGTCTTGTGGCCCAATATCTCCTCCTCCTCCTCCCCAGCTGCTGCACCGGTGGCTGCTGCTTTCCGCTCTTGTCCCCACCTCCCTCTCATGGTGACCATCCACCTGTTTGCTCACTGCTTACTATACTAGCTCTTAGGGCAGGCTAGCAGCTCCTCGACAGTCAGCACCTCGAGGCACTCATACCATCAGTGATCTCCACTGGAGCCGATTGGAGTGCATTGGAGTCCTCGGAGCCTGCACTTCTCTTTTCAGACCACAGTGTCATCAGGCGGTGGGGAAACCTTGGTTGGAAGGAAGAAAGGAAGTGAAGTGACAGGGACGAGACTCGGGTGTAGTTCAGCTCCCATGTTCGAGTAGTCGCTGCTGCTGTTGTGCGTCTGGGTACGCGTACACTGCATTTGGAAGCCTCGAGATCACTTCCTCCACATCCTTCGGTGATGTGCGCTGTCAGCTCGTGGTAGTCGAGCTTGACGCCGGAGCTGCGAGGAGCACTCTGCCTCAACAGGTTAGGCCCTGTAACATATGCTAAGAGTTTTGTGCCCTCCGGCGGCTGGTCATAGCGGCCATTCCCTGTAGCTGATTTATGCAGCCATGGCGCGTATGTGCGGAAGTCACTCCCATGTTCAGTACCCTTGACGTCAGTTGTTCGGAAGAATTTCTGCTTCGCATAATCTTTCTATCCCGGGAAACGTGAGTTGGAACGACATGCGTTTGCGCAACCCCCGGTGTTGAGTTTTTTGCATTTTTTCTTCACAACGTGGGGCAGTGTTTCGGTAGATTCTTCTGATTGTCCGGGTCGTAACTTTCTCTGTCTGCGTTCGTCATCAGGGTGATCGACCATGGGCCTGTACAGCGCTTCGCCGAAGAAGTCGTCCGCAGGGTATGGATCGCAGAGATGGTCGGAAGTTAGGAGAAGGATTGTTCACCGGAGGTATCTGTGCCTTTGGGTACTGCTAGCTCTGGTACCATGTTACATGCTCAGGCAAATGTTCTCCTCATCGTCGCCTCGTCTGTCGACAGCCACCACGAGACCCACGGAAGGTGGCAGTATGGTCACGGAAAAAATGGTGAGCGAGAAGCCCATGGATGATAGCTTTGAGGCCGAAGAGGAAAAGTATGAGAAGGCCGAGAGAGCAGCGTCCATGGCTGAAGATGATACGATACCCTTGCCGAGAGCTGTCAATGTGTTCCGCGAGGAGGTGAAGGCCGAGAAGGTAGAGAAGGAGGAGAAGGTGGAGAAAGTAGAGAAGAAGGCGGAGAAGCACGAGAAGAAAAAGTCAAAGAAGAATAGCACTAGCAAAATGCTTTCCGATCATTCCCTTGCAAAGTACGATGGCGATTTTGGAGTCCCGGAGGACAATGACAAGGAAGAGGAACAGCTCTGGCAGGCGCCTCCGTCCCCGATTAAGAAGCCGACGAATGTGGAAGAGAGCAGAAGGTAACACCTCCTTAGCTGTAGCACGCACTTGCAATGACGTTTCGAGTCGCGAGACCCTTTGTGCGCAAACTACGCCGTTTAGCAAAAAGTACCTTTATGTTTGAGACTTCTACAGGGTCTCCTCCTCACAGCGTCGTTTCTCACGCCCATGATCACATCTCTGCCCAAATTGATGATACTCCATCTTTGAAGGGTTTCCCGATTGTGAACTGGGCTGGTTCTGCTTACTACTTTTCGGTGTTCTGATTTTTCCTTTTACCTTTGGAGAGCTGTGGAGTCGCGTCCAGTGCAGTTCCTGATATATATGTTACGAGGAACTCTAATCGACGATTTGTGACGAACAAACGTAGTAATTATTGTATTCCGAGAATATGGTCTTTTCACCAAGACTTAATTTCCGTCTCAATAGACCTAGCCATGACTCCTCTATCCAAGACATGTTTACAAGTAATATGATGTTACGAAACTCATTTCGACTCACTTTGAAGAGTTCCATGAAGAGGACTACTGATGATGTGTGTGCAGGCGAATCTGAAATTGCCTGTAATCTTCAAACTTGGCTCAGTGATTACATCAGTAGTACCCGCATTATACTCTAGGAAATTGACTGAGTCGCAAAGCGGACACGCGATCTATCTGTAGTGGGCAAGAGATTGCAGTGTTGCCGAAAAGCTTACGATTTTCTCTGCGGAATATGTGCAGGTGAGGGGAATACCGACGTGGAGTAGCAGGATATTATTATGATTTTCATGATAGCGCGGGGAGTGTTGCGCGATTGAGGAGTACAACTATTTGTAAAATGAAGGATATAGCATACATAGGCAATTGAATTATTGGGTTCAAGAAGAATCTATTTGTTGGTCCCAGCAGCAGGTGGACATTGTCTCTGGTCGAATAACACCAGATATTATGGCTTTCCACTTTGTTTTACTACACAACCTGTCATCATTTTTTGAGCGGTCACCTCCGATAACACTCGTTGGTTGTCGCGGTCACGGCGACGTGGGCGGTAGATAGGGACGCCTTCAATTCAGGAGCAGCTATGACTATTCTACGCACGGCCGGCTGCGTCGGAGCGGACCTCTTATGTTTTTTGAACATGCATGAGATGAAAGAAAAGGTCTTCGATTTAAAGAATGATGTTCTTGCCGGAGCAACGGTTTTCCCTGCTGCAAGGGGCATAAGACCAAATTCTGTATCCTTTCACATTCACGAGAAGAATACAGTGTTTACAGACTTTTCTTTGTTTTCGATTCGTGTGCATGTGCTCGTCGTCTGGTTTTGAAAAATTGTTCTATTTATACCTTCGGGTATGTTCTTACCTCTGACTTCTTGCTTATAACTTGGAATGGCCAGATGCTGCTGGCCACGAGGTTCTTGGCGTGATGCCTGGTTGGAATTCACTTGGTTTGTTGCAACAGTTCCCGGTATGATTGTTTACGTGCATTTATTTCGATTATGAAGTTTAGGGTTTGAGGAACAGTTAGTTCCTGTTAGAGGTGGACACCTCTACAAACAGTATGAGTATTCGAATGCAAGTAAGAGGAATAAGAAAGTTGTCAATCTATATACAACGAACGTGGTATTGTAGTTACGACTTGCTTGGTTTAAGATACATCTGGAAGGCCAACGGATTTCGTGGAACAATAAAAATCGATAATATGAATTAACTCAACGAGGAAACTTACATTGCCGATACATACGATCCCTTTTGACACGGAAGAGAATATTGTAGGTAAAGTGTGTTGGTCTAAACAAACGAAACGTAAACACCTGTACGTAATCAAATAAAGAATAGTGAAGTCAATCTCACAGCCCAGATTTAATGACGTGGTTAGTATGTCACAATGAAATTTAAGAACATGGATTTAATAACATGAAAAAACGAAATTCTAACTAACTAAACATTACCAGTATTGAACTCAACAGTGTATATGTAGGGGAATGTAAAAGTGTCCACCAATGCCTTTGCTGTCAAAGATTGATATTTTGCAGGAAGCGTGTTTGTTAATGTGTGCAGATCAAACATGTTAATTCTACATACACAAGCATTGTTATTGAGTGCTGGGTCTTATACATGGAAGTAACACCTCTGACACACAAGTCAAAAATCATTGTTCTTGATTATCGAAGGCTGGGTCCATGGAAATATCCTCTATGGTGTTCCTTCCCTTGGACTTGTGTGCAAAAACTACTTAGTTTTGATAGTTACTGTGAACTCGCATTTGTGCAAGTTTTAACCATTTATCTTTTTAAACTTCTCCTCTATATCTATATATATAGGGGAGAAGTTCAAAATGTTAAAACCATCACATAAATCAAACTAAAGACGCGATTCTAAAATAAATTTTCTTTGCACACAAACCTAAGTATCAATTGCGAGCTTGTTCTTGTGGCTGCCCCCCTACTTCTATATTTCACAAGTGAGAAAGTGTAAGATTTGTGTTCACTCTAGACACAATGCATGAACATGTGCTCAATGGATCTTTGCAATAGTTTCAACCTATAGTCATTAGTTATTGCTCTTGAAGAGTGTAAGTAGAAGTATCATGTTGGGTTGTGTTTTCTGCGTATATGCATCAATTTGTAACAAAAACACATTGTTGTGTTTAACACTCTCGGAAACATCGGATGTGATTGTTTTAACATTCCCATATATATATATATACACACAAATATGCATTCTAGTTAATTAATGTTATACATAGTTCTATTGATACTTTGCTGGTGATTTGAGTGCTGTGTACTTACAAGAAATTAGAGCTCAAGATTTTATCTTGCCGTTTGAGCAAGATAAAATCCTTGCTCAAACGTCGAATGATTTCGTGGCCGACATGTCATTTGATATATTACCTTGTGAGGTTTCCATTATTTCCTTTAGAGGAGATGCCGCTAAGGTTCTGCTTCCACCCTCAAGGTCTATTGCCATGGCGAGGAAGCGTTTGGATAGACTACCTTGTGGTGGTGGTTCTCCTTTTGCACATGGACTGGCCACGGTAATAAACCTATAATTCTAAAACAACAAATATATTTCATGAGAAATCAAATATACATTCAATAAGTTCAAATCAACCTATTTACAAAATTATAAGGATACAAGTGAAAAACACACCCGTAAAATATTATCAAATTGACATGCAAAATTAGAAAAACCATATCAAGTGACATTATTGATCTTTTTACACTACAATTTCATCGAATGGAATGATGCTTTACGCACTTGACCAATATGAAGAACCAACAAGGAAGTTAGAATAAATGAAGATTTGTTTTATAAGATGAAAATTAACAATATGACTCATTGTAGATCAAGACTACGATATAAAACTATAGAGATAAGCTGTCAGGAATTTTGTATATACTATATTTAGCCGTTGATCTAGTGTTACTATTCACAGAGGGTATAGGGTCGACGACGACTCAAAGAACGTTCAGTTATTTGAGTCGAGCCTGTAGCGTTGGAACTAGCCGAAAGCGTTGACCTGGAATCTCAAGACGAGTGTGTTGGACTCAACTTATGTATGTAGGATAGACGTCTTTGCCAATGGGGTAATCACGTGTAAATTCACTCAAAGAACTTATGTTCAGATTTATTTAGAATTTGGACAAGTTTGCAATTGTTTGCAGCTATTCCTGGTCATGGGATTGTGTGTGAATTTTGGTGGAAATTCAAAAGTAATCATCGGAGGTTGGACCTTGGCTTGAATGTGATGGAGAAAAGCTTTTGTGATTCATCAGTATCGTCTTGGAGAGTTGAAGTTCGTGATTTTGCGAAGAAGATAGATTTTGTTGAAATCATCAATAAGGTTCGGAAAGAATTGCCAAGTGAAACAAAAAGAGGTCGAGGTTTGAATCAGAGGAGTTAAATACTTTCTTAATGCTTACAAATTGAATCGAAATATGCTCACCAGTTTAATTTCAAAAACATATGCGGTTCAATGAATTGATTGCTGAAGCTTTAATCCAGCCGTGAAGTTGTGCAAGGCGTTAGTAGAGGTTACAAGACCAAGGATGCACAAGTATTTTTCCGTCAGAAATTCGGATGTTGTTCTAAGGTGATAGTGAAGACGACGTTAGTAGAGTTTACAAGACCAAGTATGCACAAGTATTTTTCCGTAGGAAATTTGGATGTTGTTCTAAGGTGACAGTGAAAACGACGTGTCGTGAAACACATCAAATTACTTAACAGTAGAAAATTTTTCTTCTGTTCTGGGGCATACGACTATTCTGAAATTGTGGAGAAACTCAACATTCACTACTGGTGCAATCTTACAGATTCTGTTTGATTATGAATCTGATGTTATGTTATGTTATGAATCTGATCTTATGTTTATAGCAAGAGGAAAGAAATCTCTGTTTGAGATTTTTCATCGGAAAGGTTATCAGGTCGAAGCAAAGAAGATTTTTCTGTTGTGCACGGATCAAGAATTGAGGAAACGAGAGAGCGAGTGATTGATTGATTTCGGGGAGACTATCTATGGTTGTGCTGCCTCCTATTCAAAGCAGATGATGGAGTAGCAGCAACTCGTGAGTCATCTCCTGCTCCTTTGAATTTATCCAAACTCAGCGTGACATGCACTCCTGCGTTTTTTTCCTTGCACGAGCGTATGAACTGATGCTCACATCTGTTGGAAATAATTTTCCAATTATTACTATCCTCGAAGGTGATTTTTGAGTTTCAAACTCGGCTCTTGCTCTTGATCGTATCTTACTATCACTGCTATTCGTCTACGGCTGGAGCTCAGAATTGCTACCCCTCTTGTGTCGTGGATTTTGGCTCGGGAAGGACGTAAGTGCATTGTCGGAGAGCTTTCTACGTCGGAGTCGCGGACTCTTCTTGTGTGGAGACGTGGATTTGGAAGGAATGAAAAAGTAACATTGCGTGAGCAGATTGAAAATTCATGTGACATAGTAGATTGTCAATTGAAGGTCAAAATCCAGTAAGCAGTGTGGCCTAATAGTGTCTCACGTTTGTTAAACAAAAGATTTTCTATGGAAAACTTGCTGTGTGGCTCATTCTGAAAAGAATATGACCATACAAAGTTTTCATACGGTTCTCTCCGACGAACAAAGCTGTAATTTAGATCAAGAGTTACGTAAGCATCTGCAAAGATAGAGGACAAGCCAAGAATAAGTCTGATGGTTCACAGATTAGATCAGGTTTCAGATTTCTGATTGAAGTTTTTGATTTCTGATATCTTCTCGATCAATATAGCAAACCAAATGACACAATCCATATAAGCGTGACTTTTGAGCTCTGCTAGGTACACAATGTTTTATCTTCAACACGAAGAAGATTATCAATGTGAGGTAGATAATCACAAACAAGCCAGTTTCTTCGTTTTTGTTTTCAGATGAGACTCACAAGCCGCAACCATAATCTTAGTTAATGCGGAGGAAGTGTAGATCGCGCCAAGGTTCTCAAGGTGGATGAAAGTATCCATGACACTTGTAACACTAGGGTTTAGAGAGAAGATCACCCAAAGATAGAAACGTAAACTCTGAAGATGAGAGATACCAACAATGGTTCTCCTCTCCCTTATATAGCTTTCACCAACAAGTTTAAGGAGATAAGATCTTATCCCCACCATCCATCCCACTCCAAGTGAATGGATGACGTGCGGATAACCCTAATAAGCACACGGATTGCTAACGTGGTGCTCCCAACTAACACACTTTATCCTTACCTACAAGCACATGGATTGCTGACGTGGCACTGTCAACTAACACATCCATTCTCTACCTACCAAGCGCGCGGATCGCTGACGTGGCAGCTATGACTAGTGCACGCTAAAGTATCTATATCAACATTTAGAGTAACATCTACTTCAGTTCTAACTAACTAAAGATGGTTATAAATCTCACTCCTTTTAAGATGCAACGTCCTTGTTGCACATACGTTCAAACTCTTGAACCATCAAAGGTGCATTTGCTAAATTTTTAGCTGGTTCCCAAATTGATTCATACGATGGATAGCCTTTCCATTGAATCAAATACTCTACTTTGGGATACTTATGATCTCAAATACGTTTCTTGAGTATCTTTTTTACCTCAAACTTCTCATGATCTGCTATCAAGGTTAGAAGAGGAGGTGGTGCTGGTTGGTTGGTGAATTGTTTGGGTCGTGGTACATGTTGTGACACATGAAATAGAAGATATATTTTCATATGTGACGGAAGTTCCAACTTGTATGACACTTCACCAACACGCTTCAAAACCAAAAATGGACCAATGAACCTAGGGTTCAACTTTGGTGTTCCTACAAAAGACAAATTTGTTGTAGATAACCAAACATGATCTCCGACCTCAAAAATCACTTTTCTACGATGAGCATCGGCATGCTGTTTTTGCCAATTTTGAGCTACCACCAACTTCTCCTTGGCTTGATGTAGTCCTCGGTGATTATGCTCCACAAATTTGCCGACTGCTGCAACTTTGGTCAAAACTACTCTCCTTTCGGAAGTCTCATCAAACTTGAAGCAGTTATAGGATGAGCTCCATACATAAGAAAAAATGGAGACACTTTTTTGGATGCATTAACAGAATTGTTATATGAAAATTCCACAAGTGGCAAAAGGTTGTCCCACTCTTCTTGCTCTTCTAATGTGAATGCTCGTAACATTTCTTCTATGGTTCTATTTGCCCTCTCCGTTTGTTCATCAGTTTGAGGATGATAAGCCGTTGACATTGCTAGTTTTGTTTTGAAAAAACTAAACAAAGTTTTCCAAAATAAACTAGTGAAGTGAGTACCTCTAGCCGTGATTAACACTTTGCTTAAGCCATGATTCCCAAAAAACTGCATCTAAATACAATTGAGCTAGTTGTGGAGCAGTTACCGTTTTTGTGGTTGGCTTGATTTGAATCATCTTGCTCAGCTTGTTCACAAAAACCACCACTGAATCATGTCCTAACGAAGTCTTTGGTATCTCACATACAAAATTCATGGTGACATGTTCCCATTGCTGTTCCGGATTAGAAAGAGGCTGTAATAAACCCGCTGGTTTTTTATTACTTACCTTGTTTTGTTTACAAGCAACATAACTTCAAACATATGACTCCACATCCTCGCGTATTTTGGGCCAATAGTACACTCGTGGTATACTCTCCACGGTTTTCTCCTCTTTCACATGACCTGCAATGGCTGTGTCATGACTTTTGGCCAAAATCATTGTGCGCAAATCTTGATCTTGTGGAATCCATATGCGCTGTTTGTAGAACACCAAACATCAAGATTTCTCCGCCTTTCCAGTTTGTAGTGTCCGAGTGATCACTTCATCCTCATTTGTGGCTTCTGTCATCTAGCTCCACCAATCAGCCTAAATTTTCACTTCTGAAATATGATTCAAACAAG